TAATTTGATGTCTTCTTTCCTCTGTGGGTAAATTCTTCTATAATTATCCACTTGGAGATCTCCGGCATCTTTTTGCTAACACTGCTAAGACACAGGATGCTGGGTCTCTGGTTTGAACTTGTTTGAGACTGCTGAGTTCCTTGTAGGTGGTTTGTGAGAATGAGTAACATTCAATTGCAGGGCATGAAGATGTCTCATCCCTTCAAGGCCAGGCAGAAAACTTTATGGCACAAACAGTGCTGTAGTGGGAGTGGGGACCTTCCTCTGCTTTCTCTGCCCAGGTTTTGGTGGTTTCTTCTCTCTTCCACACCACTCAGCCACCTTTGGAAACAGTGTAGCAACGTCTTCTGGGAAGGATGATGAGAACATCTGGAACAGTTTCCTTTGTAGTCTCAGCCATAGGGATCTCATTCATCACTTCAAAAAGAAGTAGAATGAAAAGCACGCAAGAGCCAAAAGCTCTGGACTGAAATGATTCATGGAATGAGATGTTCCAGGCTTTGTTTGCTTGCTGGTTTGTGTGTTTGTTGTTTGAAGTAAGAGCCACTGGGCTCAGTTCAGCTGCTGGGTTATCAGAGCAATTAATCTGTAACTTCACAAAGTGAAGACTTCTTTTCCCAAAACCAAAAACTTTCACTGCCATTACTGATTTGGAATGTGCTCCTCAGATGGTGTGCTGAACTAAAATAGTCACATCAGGGTTTTTTTTTGACATTGTGTGTGAATGAATCTGTCTTTTTTTCAGGGGTATCCCCACTTCTGGCAACTGCACAGAGATGAGTGTCTGGGACCTACCCTTCTCTGCTGGTGTTTTCCAAGCAAAAAAGCTCATCTCTCAAAAAAGACCACTGGCTCCCCTTGTCTCATTTCTCCAGTGAAGAACCCTGTGGATGGGCTGTACCTGAAAGCAGCAGATGTCCTACCATAACTGCTAAAAGCAGGCACCATCAGCACTAATTTCATGGTGTCTGACTCTGTGTGTGATGATACAGGGTGTGCAGTGCTCTTTCTCTGCTGGTCACTGTGAGGTGCTTGGATTTTTCCAGTCCAATGGCAGGTTCTCAGCAGAGGCTGGCTGCTGTGAGGGATCACAGGGTGACGTGCTGGGTGTGCACGTCCCCAGGGAACTGGGCTGATCAAAGGGGAACCACTGAACTACTGAGTTTGCTTCCATAGCTGGTCACAGTGAAACAGATCTGCTTCCTAGGACAAAAGTCTAAATATAGCTCACGTTTCTGAGTAATAGGGTATGTTGCAGATTTTCCCCTGCTTTAGCAACAAAAAGCTGCAGTGGGGACCTAAGGAATTAAGTGAGATAGTATCTGCTTCCTGCAATGCTCCTAAGGGCCTACTGCTGTGATATTTGTCATTCCTTGGTCTACCTCAGCATCCCAAGGAAAGCTAAAGGAAATTTTGTGTCGAGAATGGGAAGGCCGTCTGGACTGTGCCTTGAGCAACCTGGTCTAGTAGAAGGCCCATGGCAGGAAGGCTGGAACTAGATGATCTTTAACGTGCCTTGAGCAACCTGCTCTAGTAGGAGGTGTTCCTGCCCATGGCAGGAGGGCTGGAACTAGATGATCTTTAAGGTCCCTCCCAACCCAACTCATTCTGTGATTCTATGACTCTATGATTGCAGACATCACTAGATGAAAGGCAGGAGGAGGCTTGTTTTATGTAGGGTAAAATGGGTTTAGCACGTACGCATAAAGATCTGCTCTGGTTACAACAGCTCCACATTGATTATTATCCTGTCACTCTGCCAGGCCATGGCCTTCTCATCTACCAGAACCTTACAGAAATATAAAAAGCCCAAAGACTTGAATGACTCCTGCTGTCCCTTTAACCAGAAAAAGCTAAATGAAGTAGGAAGCTGATCTTGGAAGGCAATCTGCTTAGATGAGTACAGGCTAAAAGTGGAATAATCCCTGAGGTCTCTCATTTTGTTTGCTGTAATTTGGTCAGAAAGCAAATGCAGCTGAATTTTTCAAAGCTGTGATGTGCAGGTGGGTCTGTCCTTCTGCCCGCAATAGCAGCGAAGGTGGCTAGTCTGCTGTTCTGTAAAAAGGGTAGGAGGTACAGATGCTCTCTTTCAAAAACTCTACATTGCTGCTGAGTATTTCTGAAATGCTTTTGGGGGTGATGGATAATTCTGAATCCCCAGAAGCATGTGTGAAGAGGTAGAAAACAGAGAAATGACTTCTGCCTGTCCTGAGAGAAAAGCTGCTTTTTCCTGGGTGTAAATGTGTGTGGTCAGACAGGTCCTCACTAATACCTGAGGAGGATTCATTATAATTGGATTTAATCCTTCCTGAGCAGAAGAAAAAGGTTAATTGCCTGGGGAGAAGCATTTATCTCACCCACAGACTGTTCAGAGGACCAAGGGATGGGGAGAATCACTCAAATGGGAAGATGGGCTATTTTTTTAGAGGTCTGTTGTTCTTCCTCAGTTTATTATAGCCAACCATAACAGCGAGGTTGTGCTGAGCAGCTTGTAGAAACAACACAGAGATGGCTTCCTTTCCCTCTGCCCTGGCCCTGGAGCAGATGCAGCTAGGAGTGTCTCAAGTGAAGTGGCTTTCCTAAAGCTGTGCTGGTATGTACGGCATGGAAAATAAAGCATTTTTTAACCAGGGTGCAGGCCTCCTTGTGAGATCCTTTAAGTCCCCTTTTTTTGAGATGGGGGGAACCTCAAGGGGTTGAAAGTAAATCTCCATCTCCTTTGGGGAGAGAGCAACCCAGAGAATACTTCATTGGAGGTTCCTTTCTTTAGTGTTATTGAGCAACATCTTGGGACCTTAATCCCAGGAAAGCACGGCCTATAATCGCTTTCCAGTCTCAGGAGCACACGGGTGGGGTTTTTTTTAAAGCATGTGGTAAGTATCAAGTAGATAACCCCAAGGAATAAGAATATATTAGACTAATTAGATGCTAGTCAGCAAGCAGAGGGTGGGGGAATTGCACTGAATATCTGGATTACTCTTGTGAGTCAGAGTTGTTGCTGTATTCTTACGGAGTGAACTCTTTTGGGGAGACACTTTCACAGGGGCAGGTGAACACTGCTAATTTTAAGGCAAGAATTGATAGCTGGAAAACAGTAATAAACCCGAGGACTGTAGTAAGTATCAGTGAGCTGCTGCTGCTATCTTAGTAAGTAAGTGAATTATCTGAAATGTTCCAGACTGTGAAACTGTTACCTGAAGATGCTCACAAAAGGCTGTCTTGGGTTTGAGGCAGAAACTTTTCTGTGCCATTAGCTTTTCAGTTCTGGAGGCTTGCAGAATTACTTAACTCCCGAGTATTTACTTGGATAAGAAAAGAACTGAGAAGTATTTCATCCTGTGCCCTTCAAATCAGACTCTGGCCCTTTTGGCTTGCCCCTTAGCAAGCTAATCACCATTCCCTTTTCTATTGTAATTGGTGTGTTTGATGTTGGAGCACTCTGCTTCTATGAGATTTCATTTGTTGTTGCTGTTACGCTTTGCCTTTCTGCAAGTCTTGCTCCAGTGCTACTAGTTTAAAGGACCTTCTTAAATTAATGTGGTGAAGCTCAGCTCTTACAAAGTAATCATCTCAGCTTTATTAATCCCTTCTCATTATGAGTTCCAGGGGCAGCTAAAGGCTTAAGAGTACAGCAGTACAGCAGCTCTCTGCTGTGTCACACCAGACGCATAAGTCTATTGGGCCAGCGCTACTTACTCTGTTTACAGTCTAAATAGGTAAAACCAAAACTGAGAAGAAAAACAGATACCCTGTCATTTAAGGGACTTGACCGAGGTCACAGAGCAGAGCTGGCTGCAGAGTGTCCCGAATCCCTAGTGACTACTCTCCTAGTCAAACATATGGAAGCTGTGGAGCTGCCTGCTGTGTCGCTGCTCGAGAATTTGATGGCGACTAGGCGTATGTGAACACTTCTCTGGTTATCCTCTAGATAGATAATACTAACTTTCTCAGTTACACAAAGAAGATGCATAAGTATTTGCCTGTTCCACTCTGTGACAGTGCCCTCCTGTTCCCACTGAAACTAAACTGCAGTTACACAAAGAAGATGCATAACTATTTGCCTGTTCCACTCTGTGACAGTTATACTACGATCATGCCCTCCTGTTCCCACTGAAACTAAACTGCAGCAATAGACATCCTTTCCCCTCACTCAGACAGCTTTTCTCAATTGTGACTTAAACTGAATTCTCCAGTCAACTTTTAAAGGCAAACTACACTAGGAGGAGCTCTTCCTCCATTTCATTTCTTCTCTCCCTGCTCAGCTGACTGTTCACTAAAGCTCGGAGTTGCTTTCATATGGGCTGCTTACTCCCTGTCCAGCTTCCTCAATCCTCTGCACTTTTCTGGGCATGAGAGCTCCCCTCAGGGTATGAATGAAACACTAATTCCACTGACCCTTTTTGATACTATGGGCATTTCATGACAGTCAGCTTCTTGCAATGTTTCTCCTGTTTGCTGGTTTGGCTGAAGGATCCACTGTACTATTTCTTTTTCAGCACAGAAAAAAACCCAGCCATGCAGTTCCCATGCACAGGCCTTCAGTAAATGTCCCAGGTAACATTGGGACATTTTTCCTTCAGTTAGGTGAATTTCTAGAACTGAAAAGATTATGCAGACAACATATATAAAATATTAACTTCAGTACTTTCTCGTATAAGCTAGAGTGAGTTGGAAGACTCACCCTACAGATATTTGTGAAGTCACATCAAGCAAGTGCAGAGGAGGGCAACAAAGCTGGTGAAGGGCCTGGAGAACAAATCGTATGAAGAGCGATTGAAGGAGCTGGGACTGTTTAGTTTGAGGAAGAGGAGACCGAGGGGCGACCTCATCACTCTCTATAACTACTTGAAAGGACATTATAGAGAGGTTGGTGCTGGTCTCTTCTCCCTGGTAATTAGTGATAGAATAAGAGGGAATGGATTCAAGCTACAACAGGGTAGGTTTAAAATGAACATTAGGAAAGAGTTTTTCGTAGAAGAGTAGTCAGTCATTGGAACAGGCTGCCCAGGGAGGTGGTTGAGTCACCATCCTTGGATGAGTTTAAGAGTCTATGAGTTTATGAGTCTATGAGTCTTAGGAGTTTAGATGTGGTGTTGGGGAATATGGTGTAGAGAACTTTGTAGAGTAGGGTAGATTGTTGGATTCGATGATCCCAGGGGTCTTTTCCAACCTAAATGATTCTATGATTCTATATTCGATGACTGATTCTCCGTTACATTCACATTACAGGGTAATAGCTTCTCCAGTCAGAAAGCATTTCTCCCAGAGCTGGCAGCAGACAAGATATTTGTAAGCCCTCAATCTGAAGACTAGAGGAAGCATTCCAAGTATTCAACAAAGGGATGCTTAGAACCCTGAATGCTGAAGGACTTCCAAGTTCTGTGGATGCTTTATGCACAAAGGGCAGTAACAATTCTTAGGGAAAAGCATGGAAGCTCTGCGAAAGGCAAACCCCGAGGCCGCCCGCAGTGAGGTTTCCCTCCTGGAGCTCACAGACACTCTCCCCCTCCACAGCCTGGCCCCGCGGCCCCCGACTCCAGGGCAGCGCTCACGTTCACGAGCAGGGATAAATAACCCCTCGTCCCCTCCTTGCTCCTAAAGCTGGAAGGGCGCTACCCGGGGGGCACACTGGGGTCATAAGTGGCCGCAGGGCCCTCACTGGGGAGCAGCCCCGGGGATGACCCCAGCCGCCATCACCGGACGGCTCCCGCCTTCCCAGCCGCCCCCGGGAACCACCGCTCCCGGCACGCCCTGCGCGCCACCGACCTTCATGGGCGCAGGGAATTGGTGGCAGCGGAGCCAATCACGGGCGCAGACCTTGCCCGCCGGTCCCGCCCCGTCGGGCCCGACGCGGGGAAGCTTTGAAAAAATTCTCAGGTGCGCGGGGATCGTTCGCCTCCCTCCTCCCCGGGCGGGCGGGTTCGGTAGATCCCCGCAGCAGCGAGGCTGGCTTGTGGCGGAAGAAGGGTGTGGGTTCCTGGGCTAGGGCTCCGGCTGCGGGCGCAGCGGCGGGTGTCGGAGCGATGGGGCGGGCGGGCGGGCGGGCGCTTGAGTCACCTGGGCGCCGCCGCGCAGCCCCCGCTGCCCCCTCAGGTGCCGGGGCCGTAAGTTCATTTTCTCATTCCAGGCATCCCGGGTCCTCCCGCAGCACCGCCGGCACCCGGTGTGGGTCCGTGCCACCGCACCATTGTGGTTCTCCCCTCACGGGTGTCCTTGTGGCACACGCACACACGCGCACACACGCGCGCGCACACACACACCCCGCCCCTCCCCTCCCGTGTCCCCGGGTCGCTCCAGGCAGGACCTCACTCACCGGAGGCCTCGGTTGCGCGCGGGGGCGGAGCGTGCCGGTTGTGTGAGAGCCGGTGCTCGGTGGGGCTGGCGGCTTGGGAGGGCACCGAGCTCCTCACACGGTTCATTTGCCCCCTCCTGCCTTAAAGAGGGTTTTGGAGAGGGGTCAGTAAAGTTTCCGCTTTGTGCAGACGCGGAAGTTGTAGAAATTTCACCTTATTTAAAGCCATTGTTATTTTGCCTAAACTTCTGGCTAAGTAAATAGTGGGAGTATTGCCCAATAATATGTGTGAAATAGCTATGGGCTTGAACAAAGGTGTAGATCAGGAGAACAGGTGTGCTTTAGGCTGTACCGAGCTGAACACTGTCTGCTGGAGCTTTGGTCAGTAGAATGGAACAATAAGAAAAGAGAAGGGGGGGGGGTTAAATGCAAATAGCTGGGGGCTAAGGGGAGAAGGATTTATAGTGGTAGGATAGTTTTCCCTGCCACGTAAAATATTCTTAAGGCCCATCTGAAATAATCAGATACTCTTCAAGCAGGAGTCTCAGTAAATACAATTTGCTTAAGTGACTGAATACACCACAATTGTTGTGGCTTTGGTCCAGTGGTATTTTTGTTTGCTTTTAGAACAAAATAAATATTTACATTGTAGTTTTCATGTGCTTAGTTTTGGCCTCTGGTTTCTTTCACACTGTTGGCTAAATTGAAGAGCTCTTTACTAACTGTGTTTGTTTCATAAATTGTTACAAAGAACATAACGAGATGGGTTTGACTGGTTTGACCATCTTGAGTCCTGCATGCTAAATGGTGTCTCCAGCCCTGCAGTCTTCCTGGGGCCTTCCTACACTTCCAACATCTGTCATGGATCCTGGGTCACCAGAATGGAGTGTCGCATTCTAGGATCTATATACTTATGTACAGTATGTTCTGGTGCTATATACTTACTGTGATTACTGTTTGCGTTTAGGCATCCAATGATAAGTATTTATTTCTAAGTGCAGTAGAGCGTGAGGAATTCTTGTTCAGTTCACCACTGAGTAATTTTCAGCTTTCTTATGTCCCAGAAACCTCTGTCCTATAAGCATTGCTGACTCTTCTCTTCTTACTGGCAGTATCTCATATACAGTCAAATATGAGGAGATATAATTTTACATAACTGCTTTTAGAGTGGTAGTGTAATTTAATGTGACATAGACTTACATGGGAAGTCTATGTCACATTAAATTATATATATACACACACTTTCCTCTTCTTTAGCAAGGAGTGAGTGTAATTGTCTGCATAATCATGTTCCAAGCATCTTTCAAAATTTTTTTTTTTGTTTGCCTTATAGCCTGGGGATCATGGCTGCTAAGAAATTGAGAAGAGCAAGGTTGTCTCAGGAGCTGTGTGAAAGGCTGAGTCGCCATCAGATCACTACCTGCCAGGTGAAAGTGCTGTTTTATGTGTGTGTGGGGTGGGTTGTTTTTTTGTGTGTGTGTTTTAATGCATTTACTGCGTACTTTTTTGTAGTTTAATTTATAGGGAGCTTTACTTTCTATAAAGTAGAGGGGATTTCAGGCTCTGTTTGGCCTGCTGCCTTCTGAAAAAAAATATCTAGCTTTAAAAGGCTTGATACCTACCTAAAACATTTAAATTTGTCTGTACTTACTACCTTCCCTTCTAAAGAACCTTAAGATGCTTTATTTTAGCAGGGGTGGCCAGCTACTAAATGGAGTAAGACAATCATTTCACAAAAGCACATTTATACTCCATAACCTAGTGTGTGAACGTGCTGTGAGGCTGTGCTGTCAGTTATGGGTTGGTTGAGAAGTACGTTCCGAAGTTGTTCTTATGAATGCTCACCTAAAGAGAACTCAGAGGCCCTGTGTATTTCAGCAGCATGCATGATAAATACAGGCGCTAGCCCTAGGACTGCAATCTAAAAGACATGATGTAATTTGAATGTTTTTTAGGTAGGTAGAGACTTTTGTGGGCCAAAAGGTGTTACCTTGTTGCAATTCCATTACACGGTTCTTGAAGAGTTGATCCTTTGACTCCATGTCCTTTAAAATATGAGTAAAATTTTCTTTAGTATACTGATATCAGAGCAAGGTAGGAGAGGTATAGCATCATAGTGTGGCACAGTTGGTAAACCTGTGGAATCTCTATTAGTTGTGTATAAATTCCGTCAGTTTAGTCCACAGTCTTGATTTCTAGCTTGAGCTCTCTGAACTGTTCTGTCATTTTTCAGGACTTTTTATGTCTTTCCTTCTTGGAGCTAATGAAAGTGACGGGGCAGAGCTACTATGATGTACAGAAGCTTCTTTGTAAAGTCAGCCGGGCTTGTGCTCCCAAAATGCAGACAGTAAGTACGCTTGTGTTCATTCTGTTTCCCGTACAATGTCTGGGGGAAAAGCTAAACGATGTCACTCATGTTCTTACCTGGGAGCTTTGTGATGTCTCAGTTAATTGCACAATTAAATAATACTTTTATTTTTAAATTTAGATCTCTGAGGCACTTTAGTTTGATGCAGTGACTTTTGTTAGGCATTATAGAGATTGTTCAGATCTGCAAAATCAGCTCTCAGTGCAATAAATACGGCATTTTGTCTTGCAATCTAGCACATAAAAATTGCTTCTAGTTTTGACCCTGCAACTAAAAAGAAAAAAAAATAAAGTGTTGTTTAGTACAAGCAAAGAATAAGAATTTAAGTATAAATTGGTTTTAGACATAAAATTGGTGCAAAGAATGAAGTGATCCTGAAAATAACTTCTTGAGGATTCTTTCCATCCATGTAAATGAGCTATAGTGTGGTTTAGGCTACAGGTAACCTATCTGGGGAGAGTGCAAGAAGGAAACAGATGTTAACTGCAATGCAGTGGCTGGATTCTGTTTTCTTTTTTTGAATTCAGGTGAAAAGATGTCAAAAGTGGTGTCTTGTTTAGAACAAAGAGGACATGGACAGTTCTGACCTCTGTCAATTCAGCCTGATTTTTTTCCTGAAAAAAAGAAGCCATGTCAAAGTTTATTATGTGTAATTGGCATAGTAAGTGTAGCAGTAACTCTGTGAAACTTTAAGTTCACAAACCTACTGTGTTAAAGTTAATGATATGCAGAGTTAATATGGCTTATGCGAATGGATTAAAAGCTAGCTAATTCCTAGTTTTCCATCAACAACTGTTAATAACCATCAATAAATTGAATATAGATGGACATTTTAAGTAGGGTTCTAGAATTTACTTTTGCCTGTCACCCACACATCACTATTCAATCAAATTTCTGGAATAAAATAAGTCTTTGCCAAGAAGCTTGGCAGATAGTGAAGATTGTCAGACAGCAGTTGTCAAGGACTGTTAATACAGAGCCAGATGACCAAATATGTAAATGAGTGAGATACAGAGCTGTAGTTCCACAAGCAGATGATGTTGGCTACTTTTAAGGGTTGATTGAATCTTTGCAAACACAAGATTTCAAATGGACTTGAGGTCAGAGTGACTGATAAAATGTCACAACTGATGTAGCAAGAAAGTTTGACAATATCTTTGAGTAAATAGAAAATTTAAAAAATTAGATAGTAGGAGTTATAAATAAGGGGAAAATATTGTCCAGATACGGCACTGGAAACACTGGCAGCAAAACTTAAGAGCATGCCAAGATACACAGTAAAACTCTTTCAATTTCTGGAAAACCTGCCTTGCAGTATGAAGTACAGAGTGAAGCCTACTGAGCTAATCAGAGAGGAAGTTAGTTAAGGGGTAACTGGATCACATTATACACTGAGTAGAAAAAGATAATTATGTTAGAGGTCTCTAGAGTGTAGCTGAACAAGATCCAGTGTCTGGAAGGTAAATTAAAAAATAAATCCCTGAAATGGGAAGCAGTAAGAAAATCTTGAGAAACTAACATAGGTTACCATTGGAAAAGATTCATTCTCTTGAACTCTGATTGAACAATTCAGTTACGAAGTTCAACATGTGCTTCCATAGTACACCATACTCCCACCAGACTGTCTTAAGGCTGGGATAAATCTGATGGCTGTATTTCTCTCAGGCATTGAGAAAATCAGATTTTTCTGGAGTGGTCAATTATGGCAGGTTATAGTGATATGCTGTGACAGGGCTTTGAGAATCTCTATTGTTGGGCCAGGAGTCTGAATCTTCTGGGAATTCTTAACTAGAGCAACAACCATTAGATCTTGGACTGTTACTTTTAAAATCAAACTTCTGATGTTCAGAATGTTCAGTGGTTGAGGCACGTGGCAGTTTTAGCAGGTGTCCACAAGGTGCGAGCAAGACCCATTACGGTTTCCTGATCAGCATTTGTATTTGCTGTTTCTTCTTTGTCTGGTTTAAATTGATTCCCCAAATGAAAATACTTCTTACAAACTAGAATTCTGATCATGGGGCAGTTCCTCTAGTCAGTGGAGGAGCTAGGATTTCAACTGTTTTCAGTTCTGTATCTGTCCTGTCTTCTCGACTAGTCTTCTTCACAAAAGTGGAAAATTATAAATGGCTGCAGGGTCAGCCCAGGCTTGTTCAAAGACTTGGGAATCTTTATCAAGCCTTTCCTTGAAACCAGGTAATTTCAAATTGGTAATGAACGTCGGCCAGGGAGTTCTTGGGTTTATGTTTCATCTGAGTGTTCTGCATTGGTCACTAACCATACATAGAGTGTTTCCTTATTTAAAAGTTGGATTTTTACGGGTTGAAAGCAAGCCATGCTGAATAGGAGCAGAGAAAACCTTCAAAACACTATTTAAGGCTTATTATCATTAAATACTGTGGTGAGGGAGGTAGAACAAACTTTTAAATTTACTCTGTGAGCTACACATGGGATACAAATGCGAGGAAGGGTGATGAGCTAAGAAAGGACTATAGCTGAAGATAAGAATACTTTGCTCATCGGCATGTTTTATGTCATTCCAGATTGATGAAAGCAAATGCAAGAAGTTTGTTATTTCCATTAACCAGTAAAAAGGTGTTTTCTGATTCGTGTGTTTTGTTTTTTCTCCTCCTTTTGTAGGCTTATGAAATGAAACTGAGGAAATCTGTCAATCCCTCTTCAGCCTTTTTATCCACCACGCTGCATGGTTTGGATGAAGTCTTGCATGGTGGAGTACCCTGTGGATCCCTCACAGAGGTAACTTATTTAACATATTTTACTACAGTTGGACACCTAGAAGTCAAAAGTCACAGATAGGTTGGACTGTATCGTGTCAGATGTGCTTTAAACGCAAAATACACAAAAAATCTGGATCAGAAGTGTGGTTTTTTTCATTGGTAGAGACTGTGCATTTTTTGGGTGGGCTTTTTTTCTTCCTCCACGATGCCAGGTAAGTAAGAAAATGAAGCAATTAAAAAATGTGGTGACCCCATTTTCCTTTAAAAAAGTGAAAATTTTCCCAGGAAATTTTGGAGAAGTGTTGGCTGGATTTTACAGTGGGAAGGTTGCAGTATGGTTTCATGGTCAGAGCACATGGTGCTGAATCAGGGGCCTGTCCTTTTAATACTGCCTCACTCTGACTTTACCAAGTCATTAGTTTTTATGAAGGTACAATAAGCAATTAGGACAAAAGTGTGAAGCGTATAGTCATGAGAATGATTTACAGACCTTTTATATATAAATGTAACTAATTTATGCAATAAATATGAAATATATTATTTTTTAAAAATACTATAGTTAAGGTCTGCGTTATATGTGCATACATTGCAACACTACAAATTGCACATCTGTCTATCTGTAACTGTCACACTCTGGCTTTTGGATGCGGTGCTACTTCTTTACTTAGAATTTTCTTTTAAGAGCAAGGGACAACTTAATCTTCTAGTACCTGGATTTCTGTATGGCCTCGCAGAAAGTGGTAACTGCTTGCTTAGTTTCTATAATCTGGAAAGACGGGATTTGTGTGGATGCTTGTAGGAGTCACTGAGTATTATAAAAATACACAGATGCAATCTCTGGCTTAGGAATTTGCTGAGCTACAAATGGAAATGAAGAAACGTATATATTGGAGGGAGTATCAATATATGTGTGCCCTGTTCTTATGTTATTGCCCCAACCATCTGTTGTTGTCCATTGGTAGAGGCAGAATCCAGAGCTAGATGGACCTTGGTTTTATGCAGTGTGACTGTACTTGCTGCCTTAAAGTTCTGAGTTCAGCTGTGCACTTGAAATGAGTGGAAAAATATATAATGTGCCTCATGCTCTGAATTTACACAGGTTGAAACCTTTTTTTTTCCTTAAACACTTTAACAATCCTTACCAAGTGGTTTTCTTTGTCTGCTGTGGCAACTTGCCATAGCAGAGGAGCAGAAGTGAGAAGTCAAGAAAAAGCTTATGATGAGGAAAATAGATTTTTTTTTTCCTACACTCTATAATCAAACCAGATTGGTTTCGATCTGAGATATAAATCACTTATGAAATCTGGTAGTGACTTAAAACATACTGGTGTTTAGACATGGAGTTCAGACTATAAAAGTTTCTGCTCTAATAAACTCTTACATGATGAGGAAATATTACTTTTTGAAGATTCTGAGTATTTCTTTATATATATGATTTATAGGAATCTACACCATTCAGGTCTTCATAAATCTGTTTAAGAATGCATCCATGAATTTACATTGATCTGTCAGAATTAATTTTTTCATATTAAGTCCTAGCTTTGTTACCAATTGACTATAAAAAATTGAAATCGAAGAACTTAAGATTAGTACTACTAGTCTTTAAATTCTGGGAGAAAAGACTTGCTAAATTCTGCTTCATTGAAGGAGGAAGAACTGTTCTTATAAGTAGCAGTGAGGTATGGAGGGTCCTGGTGTTGTAACTCTTCTGCTGTCGAAGGAGATGAGTACCTTCAGGAGGAGATGAGTCTTTGGTTTCTAAAACTATTGTTCTCACCAAAGCACTGGCTGCACTAGGTGTAGTTTGACCCCTTTTCTTTTGGATACTGTTCACGCAGTCAAGTGGCAAAATAGCACAGTCTGTGTTTGAAAAGAAATGATGCTCACTTGTGGCTGGGATCTGGCTTCCCAGTATTTCCATCTGGTCCACTAATATTTTCTCAGTGGAGATGAAGAATGGCTATTCACATACTGCTTAAACTTCTGAATTGTGCTTCTTTAGTTGAAATGTAGAGTCACTGCTGCACAGGGAGGAGAAAAGTAGAAGAGGAATGTGTCTTTTCTTGTGATATGTTGACTTTAACATGTCCTTGAGCCTGTGACTGGGTCATGAATGGTGCCCAAAACAAAGGATGTTGCCCTTCTATAGGTCAATGCAGATAACCAAGTCTGTTTTGCCCCCTCTGTCCTGTAGCTTGGCAGTTTTAAGTAAAAGATGGCTGGAGTGTGAAAGTTTACATTAGGGATCCTGGAGTATTTTTTTCTTAATTGGAAAAAAAAAAAAAGAGATGTGATCCTTTGGATTGGAACAGCCACACAGTTAATTTACAAGGCCTGCTGATAACAATGTTGTGAATGTTTGTCTTTTTTCTTAGTCCTAAGCGTAGCTATAATTCAGCTCTTAGTGCAGTCTGTCCTACGGGTTCTTCCCTGGAGACCAGATAGAATGGCTCTGGAGCACTGATAGACTTTAAGCTGCTGGTTATCACGTTCTTGGGATGACTCCAGAGGGTGATGGGGGAAAAGCAGTGGTTGACATGTTGGGAGTTTTGCTGTAGTTTAACTAATCTTTGACTTCGGCATTTTGTGGGGTTTTTTAATTTTTTCTATTATTTGAAAGGAAGTTCTGCAAGCAGTTGATATCAAAACATGGATGACAAACGTAACTTTCCTGAGATAGCATAAAATAATGCTCTTCAGGAAATAAATGCAAATGCTTAGTTTTCCAGAGCTATTTATTTCACAATCCTTCTCAGTTTGGTTGATTATCATAATATTCAATTTTTATTTTTTTATTTATGTTTCTTTAAAACATTTATTTCCTTTAGATATAAGAAAATCTGGGAAACTGTTGCTAACATCTAATGGTTTTACTGCATATGTATCAACGTATTTAAAGGTATTTGGGGGAAAAGTATATATTCAGTGATAAGCTAAACTTTTATCTGACTGTAAATGGAAAGCACTATGCCAGGTAAGATGCTGAAATTTAAGTTTTATTCTGAAAAAAACTTTTGAATGTTAAGGGTTTTTTTTATTCCCAAGTATTTTGGTTAAAAATACAGGAACTGCGTAACGCAGTTGCCTTCAATAGGTGATCCCAGTAAGTGCCTGAGATTTTGAGGTCTGTACAAGACATCTTGTGGATGACACCAGAACTACAAGCACTACATCCTTCCACCGGTTGCGTGGTCTTGGTTGTACCCCCATGCCAGATTGGCAGTATTCATGCATAATAACTGTTTAATCAGAAATATTGTAGAGAGAACTAAGTAGACTCCAGAAATTAGATGAATAACTTAAGACATTTGAGGTGTCTAAAAAAAAAAAAGTGTATTGCTTTTTATTTGCCTTTCAGGTCCTAGCTGTGTAAAGTGGTATGTATTTTTGTGTGTGTATGTGTTTTGGTTTTTTTGTTGTTGGTTGTTTTTTTTTTGTTTTGGTTTTTTTTTTGGTGGTTGGACTCGATGATCTTGGAGGTCCCTTCCAACCACTAAGATTCTGTGATTCTGTGTGATTCTGTATTAGGGGTTTCTTGGCAAACATAAAGACAGAGAACAATTAACTACGCAGAAGCTGAGTTTCTCACTTAAAGCCTGTTTCTGGAGATTTTTAAAAGCATTTTTGCAAGAGTCATGAGATCTCAAGTAGTTTCAGAGGCTGGCAGCACGTAAATGTTCTTCAGCGTGACTGCTAGATGAAATTTCAGTAGAAAGCTATCAAGCGTCTGCTGCTGCTGCTTTGATGCTGTACTGCAGCCTGCGAACACTGTCAGGTCGTGTTCTTTTTGGATTCAAGTGATTTTGGAATTCAATAATTTTAATTTGCTCTTTTGCAACTTACTGGAGTATAGCTGAGCAGCAGATTGCCCTTTGGTATTTTTGTTATTAGGCAGATACTCTGAGAGAAGTTCTCCTCAGAAGTATGCTGTGCGCAGCATTTACCGCCAGACTGGTGGGGCTAAATCCTTGTCTTCCTGTTACCTTACCCAGCAGCAAGGGTGGTTGGAAACTTGGAATTTGAGTACATGAGCCACAGAGTTAAAACTTGTGGTGGTATCTTCTGCAGCCAAAGCTGCTTGCCTTTTGAGTGCCAGAAGGATTTGATTTGTGTTACACTGTCTCAGACCATTTTTTCCCAAACCACTATTAGGTTTTAAGTTGGAAATGAAATTGTAGCTGAAATTTTGTGGTTAGATGTCAGAGCTTTTGGCTAACTCCTCTGAGGAAAAATTAAAGTAACGACTTTGTGAATATTGAGGAGTTCAATCCCCTGGTAGCTGAAGAAGAATTAGCTCCTTGTGACTTCATCCAAACCCTACACGTACCAGAGAAAATAATACATAGCTTATTGAAAAATAAAAGTATGTTTTATTAGGGAGAGATAAATTCAAAATTGTTGTAGTCTTCACATTTCTATCTGGATAGACTTGATTTTTTTTTTCAGAGAAAATTTAGAGTAAAACTAAAACTTTTTTCAGACATTTGATTTAAATTATTTTAGAGGAATTTTAGTTTTGTTTTTTTTTTTAAACTAAGATTGTATTGTTCAAAACATTTGAACTCCAGTGGTAATTACAATAAAATGTGGTAGTTCTTTAATTGTTTACTGTACATTATTTAAAATCCCATTTTAATTCCCTTTTGAAGGAATCCTGATAAAAGATGAAGTATTGTTGTCTTTGGGAATAGAAATTTTGTGTTCCTCCATTAGCTAGGTTGTACTGCAAGATTCTCTGTCTGTCTCTGATATGATGCTCGTCTCCTCAGACATCTCTGCTGAATTAGCTCCTGCATCAGCCACTGAAATAAATGCTGCTTCCAATGCACCTCCCAGGCAAGGCTGGAACTACAAATGTTCTTGAGGTCTCCTTCATAGTTGTCCAAACATTTTAATTTAACAACTGGATTGATGCCCTCCCCTCATTCATTTCAAGTCATCTTTTTAACATGAACCAGCTGGTGAGGCTCCTTGGCTATCACAGTCTGAGGAATGTGTATTGCCTCTGCAATTTTAAAAATATGCTGCTTTGGGTTCATATTAAAATCTGGCAGCTATTGTTGGTATGATATTTTGTAATTTAAGTACAATGGATGGAGGACAAATAATTGCATAAATGTGACTGATTCCTGGTTTGTAACTCACTAAATGCAGCGTGTGGTTCTAAACCAAAAATCATCTAATGCTTCTTTTGCATTAAAGCTTGAAGTAGATTGACTGATACAGCTTGGTTTTCAGGCCTTGTTTAAAGACGAAAGTGACTAAAGGGATATTAACCAACACTAACAGTAGCTAATGTGTAACTGTGGCTGATGCAGTCCCTCAGCGGTTCCCTGCAAAGATTCTGTGCTTCAAGTCATGCTACTGCTGCTTAAAAAAAAACCTGTAGCAATACTCTAGTATCTTGTGGTGAAAAGGTGTTTGCACTTAAAACCAAACTATTGTGTGTTTACGCTCAAAAATCAGTTTGATTTTGAGTGTTTGTCCATTGTAAGGTTTCTTTTTTAATTTAAAACAACAGCTCTGTATTTAAGCCTTTGTTTTGGTAGCACTAGGTGTTTTGAGGAGGTATGGCTAATGTCGGTGGAGAGGCTTACTTTTATCTTACATTATTATTTAGACACTCTACTAGTGTCAGAGTGAACCCATCTCTCTGTTTTTAGTGCCTAAAGTCACTTCAACTTTGTATTTGCTGTTTTTCTGCCCTCTTAGTATTTAAAATGTCATCATCTCCCTTCCCAGAGGCAGCAAATGTGATACTGTATTTAAAGACCCCCTGTAGTAGTAATGAACATATGATTATCTGAACACAGATCCCAGCATTCATTTGCAATCTCTGCACAATCTGCAGTGGATAAAGAACAGCATGCTCTCATCTCTAGTAGAAAATCTTACTCTCAGAAACTGGGGATCTCATCAAACAGTGTATACTTTTGATCCTTGCGGTTTTTCCCTTGGATCAAAATCATACTGGAACCATTTTACACAAGCTGAATGTGCTCTTTTTGAATGCTGCTTAACCGCGGTAGGCTTTCAGTAAGCACAGGTGAAAGCTTAACATTGGCAAGCTCCTCTGGAACATTATGTGGTGAAATGGTGAAATATGGTACTAGAGAGTTAACATGAATGGCAAAGCACATGCTATGTAGCAGAATGTAGACCCTGGGCCAGATAAAATCTTATATATGTGTGTGATTTGTATTGAAGATCCAGTCTTTATGAAATATAAGCTATTATCCTTGTGACTTCCAGGTGAGACCTGATTGTTAACCAGGTAATCATGGATCCTAAGCATTTACACCTGTGACCTCATTAGCTCTGGACTTTGTTTTCAGCTGTAAAGGCTGTTGATGTCATGTGGATGTCAGCTGTGAATCTTCTAATTCTGCTCTATTTTAGAGGTAGCAGAGAGGAGGAGATGGAAGAGAACTAGATGTGGCTCTAGGGAAGATCTTGTAAGAGGAAGGGGAGAGTAGGGGACCTCAAATATGCGAGGTAACAAAGATCTCAAAGGAACAAAGGACAAGCGTAATGCTGTGTCTGAAGAATTGTTTATTCTTCGGTGGGTGAGTTTGACTGCAGGGCACAGATGCAAAAGTAACTGTAAATTGCTTTTTGTGGGCTGCGTTCTTGCTTTTTGTGGCTGTCTTTGGTAACTGGAAGAGCAGAATTTGAGGAGTTCTGTCTGATAGCTCTTAGCTAAAGGTAGAATTAGGGTGATATGAATGTGACATCTCTTGTTTATATTACTAATCTTTTTTCTTCCAGCTAACTAGCCCACCAGGTTGTGGCAAAACTCAGTTTTGTATTATGATGAGTGTTCTGGCTACACTACCTGTAAGCATGGGAGGACTTGATGGAGCTGTTATATACATTGATACAGAGTCTGCATTCAGTGCTGAAAGGTAAGAAAAATGCAAAATTCTAAAATACACACTTTCAACTTCTTTATTACCTTTCATCTTGGAGCCTTCAATTATTTTCTGAGCAATAATTAAGCATTTATGAAATAAATACCTATGGTAGTTATTAAGCATTCATCCAATATATGCAGTTATTCCATAGATGATGAGATGGATTTCAATAGAATGGTTTGCTCTCCTTCCTAATTTGTGTGGTGTTGCAGGTTCTAATTGTGGTATGACAAGCTGGCTGGTGCATTCTCTAATTTATAAATGGTCTTAACAGTCCTGTGCCTGAAATCTTTCTTTGCAGATTAGTTTGTGGTGTTAGCAGGAAGGTTTTGAGGATGTAAAGGCTCAGCATTTTGAGTACAAAGGAAATGGAGGTTTTTCTGTGAACAGTAGGACTGACACAGTTAGTTTTCCTATCACTAGTTATCCTGGTGATATCTAGTGAATGAGATTCAGACTATTGTAATGAAATTGCTTGCTCAGAATAGGTCTATTAACATTCAAACTTAGTGTATCTATTTTTAATCCAAATAAAAATGATTTAAAACAATTTTTCTAAAATAGCTCTAATGTTTTTATGAAAAGGGCCTAAATAAAAAGCATAAACAGCAAGTTGTGCCCCCAGGTATCATCCACTAGATGCCACTCTTCTCAAGCTGTAGGCAGTGGGATCTGGCTGCTTAAAATACAATTAAATATTTTCTGCTATTAAAAACCAAAATCTTCATTGTGTAAAAAAAGTTACAGTTCTTGGACTGTAACTATGAGTATCTAAGTTGAATTCTTGGATCATTTATTTAAGAACCTAGGTAAAATTGCCTTGTGGTCAGAAGGGTGGAACTTCATTCCACTGACTTCTGAAGAGTCCTCAATGATTTTTATGTATAAAATCTCATTTAACTGAAAATTTTGGCCTCTCATCAGTACATTGTTTAGTTTTACATCTGTGCGATAGGCTTTTTCAAAGCATAGTTTCTGAATATAAAAGTATTTTGACAACAAATAAATATTCAACTTACCCTGACTTCTTTTGGTGTTATCACCAGTTATCTGATACGCTTCCTTAGTCTGCTCCGATAATAAACAGTGGTATGCTTAACAATTGTAATTCAAAGTTTTGAAGGGTCATGAATTTGCTAATAAGGTAATGGAGAACATTTAATCATGGAATCCCACAGTCAGTTCCGTCAGTGAAGCAGCCACTTAAACTGTTTAGTCATTTCATTATTTCAAGCCATGCCTGTTGTACCTGTGCTGTCTGAACGGATGGCTGTTCACCTGGCAGCTGGAGCCTCAGTCACTTTGTGACACAGTGCTGATTTTATTTTATTGTTTGCTGAGTTTTAAAAAGTATATTTTCTTAAGATTTTATAAGCCCTTCTTACAAAGAGGTAACTGGCACAATGGAAATTGTTTCAGTGAAGAAGTCCCTCGTCCAGATGACCTTGTTCTTGTTTTTAAGGAGATATTATCTGTGAAAAGATTCTTACTTTGGCAGGCAAACTTTCCATACACGTCCTGCTTGTGTAAGTACTTGCAGTCAAACTGGGCTCTGTTCTCAGCAGTCCTGCTTCCATGTCGGCTGGATCTTGTAATGGATTTCTGTTTGTTGCCAGCTTGTTAGATTTTTGTGGTGACACAAGTTCCCCTTTATAATTTCATTGCACATTAAAGGTGGAAGGCAAGGTGATTTGAGTTGGAGAGTACATTTGTTTAAATGGAAATAATATTTGGGTAGAATAACTAAAATAGGGGAATGGTTGGCTATTGAGTGAAACTTCTTGTACAAAACTCAAAGAACTTTGCATTCAGTAAGTATAAACTTTGCCATTTCCTTCTACAGGAGATGCGCTGTTTCTTTGTGTACAGACACAGAATGTCTTTCCCCAGTGTCCTACTGGGGACACTGGGAAGAGACCTTAACTGTTCTCACTTCCAGGATTTCACTCTGACTGCTAAAACATGCGTCTCCTTTGAAAAAGATTTCTAGTATTACTTGGTATCTGCTTATCATTCAGTGGTTTGCTTTGTGAATACTTGATACCTTATTATCCCACATTGTTCCTTTTTCACTGTTGTTCCTTCTGGTTTTCTGATAGGTTGATTGAGATAGCAGGAAACAGATTCCCTACTTATTTTGACTCAGACGAAAAGCTGTTCTGCATGACCCGTAGCATTCACCTGTATCGAGAGCTGACCTGTGGCAGTGTACTGAAGAGGTATTCTTTTCCAGAGGTTATTTTTTTAAAAAAAGACATTTTTGACTGGATTTTCTATAACAATAAGTGTTTTGTATCAAAGTTTTATGAAGGCTAATTCATTTATTTGAGGCCTTTTCATGATGATAACAGCATGGTCTCCAACAAAGTAAAATTGTTACAGAAAGACTGACATTGCTCTCCTTCTTTCATAGTGTGTGACTAATCCACACCCACTTGATGTTTTTTAATTCCTAATGCACAATTTCTATATGATCTGATCCCTGCAAGCGTTTAAAGGGCTTCACGTGACAGGTTTTATCTTGTCTTAGGTTGTGGAGAGACCATAGTATAAGAGTTAGGTTTTCCATGGAATAGGAGTTTGCTCCTCCAAAATGCAGCTTACTTCCAGGAAGACTGGGGCCCCAGGGAAGGAGGAATCATTTCACATTCATCAGCCTGAATGCTGCTGTTCACTGTGTTGTGTTGTCATGTTGTTAAGTTAATTTGTGAACACATTTTGCAATGAAAATGAATTAAGTTATATTTAACATAATCTAGTGTGTTTTATGTTAGTGGGAGAATTATTGTAAGAATAGTTGCTTCTAGTGCAGCTTTACCAAAGAACATCTAGTAGTGTATTATCAATGGATTAGGTTTGGCCTATTGTCTTTGGAGGTATATATCTTTTTGGGGTTGGACTAGATGATCTCCAGAGGTCCCTTCCAATCCCATATCATTCTGTGATTCTGTATGTGTAAATGGATTTGACCTTCTGCATGTACAGACACCAAGGATTCTGGTGTTGGCAATGGGACGCTGCTACTGCGAGCAAAAAGGCATGGTTTCAATGTCCTCTAAACTTGGTGTCTGCCATGCAGAGGTTGTACAGCACAGTGTTGCTAATGAGAGGTTCTTCCAAACCTCTCTTTTGGAGAGGTCCTGCCTTGGGTTATGTGGTCTACTGGAGCCTGAGATTCCCTTCTAAATCTCTTCAACACATGCAGTTGTTAGTGGAGAGGGTGTATGAGGGGGGGGGAAAAAGAGAGGGTAACTTTCAGCTTATTAAAGTAAACCCTTTATTTAAACAATCTCAGGCTTGTAAAATGGTTCTATTTTGTAAATAATGTTATCAATGACTGGGGTTTTTTATTGTTTTGGATATTTTTTTTTTAGGATTGTGTCTTTGGAAGAAGAAATTATTTCAAAGAAAGTTAAACTCATAATAATTGACTCCGTTGCTTCAGTCGTCAGAAAGGAGTTTGACACAAAACTCCAAGGCAACCTGGCAGAGAGAAGTAACTTTTTGGCTAGAGGAGCATCGGTGTTGAAGTATTTGGCAGAGGAGTTCTCAATACCAGTAAGTTCTTCCTCCTTTCGTAAGTTTTTGCCTTACAGTATCAAGCAATAAAATCTGAGAAGAATGAATATGACAAGAAGATGAAAACCAGAAAAAGCTTCTAGCAATAATCGTCAAGCAGGTACCAGTTCGAAAATAGATGGGAAATGGGGGAATAGTAAGTGTACTGCTTGGTGTATTTTGTTGGTTTTTAAAACTTTTTTTATTTTGTTCTTCAAATAGGGGTTTACAATATTCTCCAGCTGTGTTTCTGGTTTTTTTTCTTAAATCTCATATTTTATTTTGCTGCCCCTAAATATTGCTTACCCTGATGATTCCCTTCTATTGCAACGCTCACTCTAACTAGTGCGTACTCTGGCTAGGTGAAGAGCTTTTTATGGCTGTCCCTTCTACTTAAGTTTATAGAATCTCAAAGCTCTTGTACTCTGGAGCAGCATACATTATCCGTCACAAAAGGAATTTATGCTAATTAATGCAGAAAGCAAGGTAGCAGCTCAGCAAATCCTTGTCTGTGGACTTGCCCACAAAATGCAAAGGAAGACACAGACAAACAGTGCGGGGACTGGGTGGAACTGATTCAAAAATGCTTTAGAAGATGTAAGCTGCATAAATGTGTGTGCGCGTACGCATATGTGTTCCTTCGTTATATGATCCACCAAGGATCATATCAGCTCAGAAGATGTCATTGAGGCTCAACTCTTGAGATTATTTCTGAGTATGGGTAGCCTACTCATCACTCTGGTGTAAGAGACAAAACTGTGGCAAGAGCTTGAGTAATAGTGGTGAGGCCTTTTCTCTCTGATGCTGCTGAGGTCACAGCCACTATCATACCAGAAAAGTACACGTCAGAGATCTGGAACTGGCTGACTTAAGAGGAATGGATTTCCTTCTGCCATGTAATTTCTAAAGGCTTTTGATGGAGAAGATTAAACCCTCTGTAAGTCCCTTTAAAGTTCAGGTACAAAAGATAGCATCCTAATTCATCCTACATAAGAAGAAAATAAAGCTCAAAGGTTAAAAGGTTGCCATTATGTTAATGCTTTGAGGCATCTGTGGTACCTGGTGTGCTGGTGCTGTCCTGGTTTCTCACTACGAAGGCTTTGGTAAGGAGCTCTGGAATTTTGGGCAGGAACTTCTGCTCTGGTCACAGCTCTGTCTTTTTGAAGTGGTCCATGAGATATCTTATCTTTAAAATAAAATCTTTAAAGATCTGTGTAATTACATGTAAATACACAGATTGAAAGCTTGTATATTTTTAAAGCACCTAGTAATTAGATTTATCAATTTACTAAATGGAAATCTAACTATATTTTTCATTTGTCATTACCTTTAACACACATTCCTTGTGGGTTGATTCTAGAGTATTTTACAGATTGGTTAAATTTTATGTTACAAAATAACCTGCAGTAACTCCTATTAGCTAAGAATTCTGAGGGGGCCTTGGCTAGAGATTTGGGTTCTTGCAAACAGATCCGTAGGCAGGGCTGTGTATGAGTAACATGCAAAATCTAACAGCAGAGTGTGTTATGCATCTCTAAGTGTTGGTGCATGCTAGAGATAACTATCCTGTGGCATACGTTGCATTAACCTCTGCTACCTAAGGTTACAGAGTATCTGAGGTTCTAATTATAAATAACTGTGTTGAAATTATACCAGATGGTTTTAGTTACTTAGAAAATAATAAATATAAATTTGGGACTAAAAGAACATTACTAAGGATGCAAATTGATTTAGATCACCACTAAATTGGACACATGAAACAATATGTAACACATTTCATGGCAGAATCAGTGCAACTAAATACTGGATTGGGCAACAAGTAGGAGGACTCAGACTGAGACTCTGAAAACGATTTGAGTTGATGACTGATAGGAGTTGAACTTGAAGTCAATCCTTCTGGCTGTAACTAAAAGATCTGGTGAAAAATGTTGAGTAGTTGAGCAAGGGAATTGGAAATAAGGATGTTGTGTATTAACTAGTTAGCTGTTACTGGAGCAGTAGTTCTGGTGTTAACAGGCTGGGGAGGATGATGAAAGGTCAACTTCCAGAGAATAGCCTTGAAAATGACTGGGGGAAGGAGACATCAGTCTTAGTAATTAAGATATAAGGTGCTCACTTTGTGTAGCTTGGCTAAGGAAATCTTAAGGGTCTCTTCATTAATCAATATGTACTTGAGGAAGAGGTATTTGATAAAAGCAACCTTCTCTTCAGCTGACAAAGGTATTCCACAGTGTCAATATGTACTTACTTGAGGAAGAGGTATTTGATAAAAGCAACCTTCTCTTCAGCTGACAAAGGTATTCCACAGTTCTGTGGTTGGAAGCTGAATTAAGCAAGTTCAGACTTCAAATAAGGGGTGTGTTCTTACTGGACTAATTAATCATTGGAATGCATTACTAAATGTAAATAGCTTCTTGTCACTGGGTATTTTTAAATGGGCTTCTTTTTTTTTTTTCCATTTCCTAAAAAGGAAATGGGTTCAAATAGGATTAAATTTGGGGAAATCCTATACTACCACGTTATGCCAGAGTTCAAATGCGTTTAATGCAGTTCCTTCTGTTGGTGTTATGAAATTTCTGGCTGTTTATAATTATGTGGCTGTGGTGTCAGGATATTGAGTTTGATGAGCAAAAGTGATGAACATTCATAGCTTCTGCCAAACTCGAAGGGAGCTGTTTCAAACCCAAGTAGCTCTACGTGGTATGAAGTACTCGGAGGTGGAGAGGGGGGAGAAACTGACTTTATCTGCCTCAAAACTGATGGCCATTGTTCAGTAAACTCTTTGCACATCTATTTTCTGTGTGTAAAATGGAATAACAGAGCTGTTAGTTGTGAGGATCGGGTCATTCCTCTTCAGAAAGCACTCCTGCTGTCTCCATGAACAATGTAGAGATGCTCATTGGAAATTCGCACTTGCCATTCTCAGTGTGAGATTTAAATAATATGTAGTCAATGAAACCTTAATCCATCTTTTGAGTTGAGAAAAAAATATTAAACATATTCATTGAATAGTATCATCGTAGTCACTGAATGAAGCAAGTGAAAGTGTGTGATTCTAAATTTTTGCTTGACTTAATGGTTTTTGAATTTTTTTGTTTGTAAAGTACAAAGAAACAGAAAGCTTTTTTTTTTTTATGTATGGATGTTAATAAAACGTAAGTTGTTTCTTGAGAAGTGAAACATGATGCCTGATTTCCTTTTTTGATCCCTTCTACCTAGCTTAGCAGTGAGCCTGTTTCCATCCCAGGCTCTTTGAATGATGCCAGGGCAAGGTTTGGATCTCTCCTGGTCTAATGACAGCCACTAAACAGTCACTGAAGCATGTTCCTCTGTGGGGCACTATGTAGTAGTGTCCCTTTTTCCCCTTCCCTACACATAGCCATGACCAAAACCTACTTTTTTTTCTATCGTAGTCACTGAATGAAGCAAGTGAAAGTGTGTGATTCTAAATTTTTGCTTGACTTAATGGTTTTTGAATTTTTTTGTTTGTAAAGTACAAAGAAACAGAAAGCTTTTTTTTTTTTATGTATGGATGTTAATAAAACGTAAGTTGTTTCTTGAGAAGTGAAACATGATGCCTGATTTCCTTTTTTGATCCCTTCTACCTAGCTTAGCAGTGAGCCTGTTTCCATCCCAGGCTCTTTGAATGATGCCAGGGCAAGGTTTGGATCTCTCCTGGTCTAATGACAGCCACTAAACAGTCACTGAAGCATGTTCCTCTGTGGGGCACTATGTAGTAGTGTCCCTTTTTCCCCTTCCCTACACATAGCCATGACCAAAACCTACTTTTTTTTTCTGCCAGGCTTTTTGAAAACAGCCAGTCAGATCAAAAAAGACTGCTAGAAACTGAGAAGGACAGCTTGACTATAAATCAAACAAAAAGCCCTTTGTTTTTGAAATCCAGTGAATATGTAAAGCTGTATGAAAAGTTTACATTACACTTATCTGTTTTAGAGCGTGCTGTACATCTGGATCTAAATGTTCTTTCTTACAGTGTGTGTTGATGCTCTCTATCAGATTACATCTTTAAGCAGCAGCAATCAGTCATGTATGTTTCCTGTCTAGTTCTACACTTCCTTTGCCTTCAAAAAGAATAGAAAACAAAATACACTTTGGATTTTCTTTCTTGTCTTCTTCCATATTCATAGGATACTATTTACTATTCGTAAGTGGTATTCACTAAAAGTAGTTTAGTGTTCATGCTGGTTGGGAGAAATGATGTCTCCATTTCATTGAAAAGCTAAAACTAAACCCCACTATGACTAGAATTCTTCTTGAGATTTAACTGTTTAGCTTATAAAAATTGTTATTTATAGAACCTGGTCCGCTAGTTGTTAGTACCTAAGAAAATGTGTGAAGCTGGCTAGACATCCCTGTGGAAAAGCTCTCTAAAAGTGGCAGTTGCAAAACCAAACTGCTTTAAGCATTCTTTTAAATGTCAAATTGAGACTGCAGATGAAACTTGCTTTGTAAATCCCTAAGGCTAATCGAATTACAACACTGCCTGCCCTTTAAACTTGTGTCTGGGTTGTGTTCTTAGATCTGCAAAGGTAACCTTTGTTATTTATGGTAAGCATGTTAGTTATCGTTACTACCAGCAAATGTATAATAGTATCTTTCATTCTTTTTTATTAAATTGTTCCTTCTGAGAATATGAAATAGCTTAGGAAGAGAGACTTTCATCTCTCACTTGTGATTTATAGTGCAAATGAAAGACAAACCTTACATAACTATTCTCTAATGCTTTTATTTGCTATGAAAATAAGTTAACAGTAGTCAAGAAGCCCAAAATTTCCACAGGTAACATTTTTTCCCCCTTTAGATGCAACATGCTCCATTAAAAACCTAAAAATTCACTGTATCAGTATTGATAATGTGACAATAATTAAAGCTGTCATAGTAATTTTTTTTTTCACACTCAGGTCTCACTTTTTTTGTTTCAGTGCTTAACACTCACGCATTCTGCTCTCTAAACTTTATACCCATGATTTTCATTTGCT